CTGTGCGTGTCTCACCGGGGAGAACCTCCCGTGTGTGCTGTGCGTGTCTCACCGGGGAGAACCTCCCGTGTGTGCTGTGCGTGTCTCACCAGGGAGAACCTCGCGTGTGTGCTGTGTGTGTCTTGCCGGGTAGAACCTCGTGTGACATACACGTCTCACCAGGCACAACCTCGCGTGTGCACTGTGCGTGTCTCGCCGGGGAGAACCTCACGTGTGCTCTGTGCGTCTCACTGGGTCGCAGAGGTTGGCAGCGATGGGGGAAACTGCGTGGTGGACCCCAGGAGCCCCTTGTGCTGTTCTCTGCTTGCGTGTAGATCTGACGTTTCATAATGGGGGCCGGGGGGTGGTTCAGGTGCTCAAAGTCCCGGCTTCAGATACTGCTGTCGATTTCGGGGGGAACAGCCCGGGACCCCCCAGACCGAAGACGGGACCTGCCACGTCCTCTGGCATGAGCCCGGCCTGGGGGGGTCTTGGGCAGTGGCATGAACAGGGACCCCCAAGTCGGCCTTGACTGAGCCCCTCCAGGACACTCACGTTTTTCAGCTCCCGAAAGGGCACAAACTGGACGATGTCCCGGAGCGCGGGCTCACCCCGTGGGGAGCGCAGGACGCCGTCATCGCCGTCCAGGACCTGCATGTCGGTGAAGTCGGCGTTGCCCACGCCCACGATGATGATGGACATGGGCAGGCGTGAGGCGCGCACAATGGCCTCCCGCGTGTCGGCCATGTCGGTCACCACGCCGTCCGTCAGGATCAGCAGGATGTAGTATTGCTGGGGGCACAGGGAAGGCGTCAGCAGCACCACCCCTGCCGTGACCCACGCGCGCCCCGCAGCCCACGGGCCCCCAGACAGCCCAGAGCGCCTCCAGGCGTCAGTTTCCTAGAACCGCCTTCGGAGCGCGGTGCCTGCGTCACAAACATCACGAACAACAGTGGGTCAGAAGCCCCTCCGTGGTGGGCACTCTGTTCTGGGCCTTCTGTGCCCCAGCTCAGGAAATCTCCGTGAGTCTCAGGGACGGCTCTGGAGCGGGTCTACGAAGTCCACATTTTACTGATGAGGTCACAGTGCCCGGCTTGGAGGTCTGAGGCCAGAGGAGAAAACTGCAATCCCAGGAGCCAGACCTGGAGCCTGTACACCCTGCTCCAGTCTCTCCAGGGTGTCCACTGTGCCGCACGAGACAGAGTAGAGGCCGGGCGCGGCGGCTCACGCCTGTAATCCCAGCACTTTGGGAGGCTGAGGTGGGCGGATCACCTGAGGTCAGGAGTTTGAGACCAGCCTGGCCAACATGGCGAAACCCCATCTCTACTAAAAATACAAAAATTAACCAGGCGTGGTGGCGGGCGCCTGTAATCCCAGCTGCTTGGGAGGCTGAGGCAGGAGAATTGCTCGAACCTGGGAGGCGGAGGTTGCAGTGAACCGAGACTGCACCACTGTACCCCAGCCTGGCGACAGCGTGAGACTGTCTCAAAAAAAAAAAAAAAAAGAATGAAACTCAAATAAAATCCATTTCCATTGTTTAAAAAAAAAACCCACTCAATAATCTTGCCCAAACTGTGGACAGTGGGAAACAAAGAGAAGGAGGGCTGGCCTGAGCAGCTGCCCCGGGGTGCTGGAACGGCCCTGTCCCCAGGAGAGTGGGAGCCCACAGCAGCCTCCCCAGGGCTGGCCCTGACTGAGCCCGTCCCACTGAGGGCAGATGTGTCCTGGAAACGAACAGGGGCCCCAGGACCCTGCTCAGTGTCACTTTCTCCGAGAGGCTCTCCTTTTGTGCCCTCCCCATCTCCCCTCTGAGCACCACACCTGTGGGAAGAATTACCTGTTTGCAAGGTGGTCTCCAGTCCAGGCCTACAAGCACCCATGGCTGTGCCCAGCCTGGCTCTCAGCCTTCAGATAAACAGCCCATCCTCAGAAAGCCCGCCACCCCCTCCCAACCCCAGATGACGCCCCCACCCCCGCTGCCAACTGTGTGAGCACCAGGCCCCAAAACCCACTGAGGGGCCCTGCGAGGCCCGGGGCTTCGTGTCCAGGAGAGGGACCGAGGGCTCAGCCGATCACGTTTGGGTCCTGGTTTCAACCCAGTTCTAACCACGGAAAACCATGTCACGGAAACATAAACACCAGACGGACGTGCAACGCCAGGGGTGGCGGTTTAGGCGCGGTCAGGTGTCGTGGCAGCTTAAAAAGAGGCCTTATCTTTATTAGCGGCTGACACTGATATTTACAGATGAAACCGTCTGAGACTCGCTTCCAGACAACACAGGAACATGACGACTGAACACAATCCCGACTCCAGGCTGGGTCCCGTGCCAGGAATAATACTGCTTTGAAAGTTACGATTGTGCCAATTAATGAAATTGGAATATAGTCTACGTATTAGATAAAAGTATTGTATCTAAATTCAGTTTCCTGAAATCTGTATTTGTGCTATGGTTATATAAAAGAGTATCTTTGATCTTAGGAAATATACATTGAAATATTAAGAGGTAGGCCGGGCGCGGTGGCTCACGCCTGTAATCCCAGCACTTTGGGAGGCCGAGGCGGGCGGATCACAAGGTCAGGAGATCGAGACCATCCTGGCTAACACGGTGAAACCCCGTCTCTACTAACAATACAAAAACAAAATTAGCCAGGCTCGGGAGGCCCAGGCAGGAGAATGGTGTGAACCTGGGAGGCGGAGCTTGCAGTGAGCCGCACTCCACCTGGGCGACACAGCGAGACTCCGTCAAAAATAAAAAAATAAAAAAAATTGAACAATTGAAAAAGAAAACATACAACAACTACACAGACACGAAGCAGAAGTGCAACATGTGAGCCGTTGGTGGCCTCACGGGCTGCAGGACCTCCGCGCTCTTGTAACTTTTTGGTGAGTTTAAAATTATTTCAGGCCGGGTGCGGTGGCTCACACCTGTAATCCCAGCACTTTGGGAGGCTGAGGCCGGTGGATCACTCAGGGGTCAGGAGTTTGAGACCAGTCTGGGCAACATGGCGAAACCCCGTCTCTACTAAAAATACAAAAATTAGCTGGGCGAGATGGCGGGCAGCTGTAATCCCAGCTACTCGCGAGGCTGAGGCAGGAGAATCGGGGAGGCGGAGGTGCAGTGAACTGAGATCGCACCATTGCACTCCAGCCTGGGTGACAGAGCGAGACTCTGTCTCAAAAAAAAAGAAGAAAAAAAGAAAAAAAAAAAAGCAACAGGCTGGTTGTGGCCCCAGCAACACATACAGGGCCACAGAACACGGTGGCAGAGTAGAGCCCAGCACAGTTCTCCGCACCCTATCATTCATGCAAAGTAAAGACACACGTAAACAAAATGACAATGCACGTACAGCCGAACAGTAGACACGTGTGCGGCCCTGCGGTGCCCAGAGGAAGAGGAGGGGGCAGCCTCGCTGGAGCTGTGGCCATGACCCTGTGAGGCGATGGACAGCCCTGTGCCCGAGACACCTGCAGCTTTGATGCAGACGCAGTCAACCAGCTGGGCCCCCGCCCTCCTGAGTTGTTCTGCCTCGGGGCCTCTGTGCTGGCTGTTCCCTCCGCCTGGCTGCCTCCCTAATGTCCAGGCATTGGTGCACACATAGCCGACCCCACACCACGCATGCACCACGCATGCACCACGCCCCCCGGGCACCTACAGAGGCTTCCCCAGTGCGTTCCTCGGCCGCCGCCACGCGTGCCACCTTGGAGATGATGGGCGCCACGTTGGTGGGGCCGTAGAGCTGGACCCTGGGCAGACAGTTCTGGTAGGCCTCCACCACGCCCTGGATGCCTGTAGGGGGCAGGGGGTGAGCCCGGCCCCCTTGCACGCCCTCCCCAGGCCTGCCTCGAGCTCCTACCTTCACACTCATCATCCTCAGGGTTGAAATTGATGGCAAAGTCATGGGACACCTGGGTGGGAGCAACAGGGCTCGGTCATCTGCTCGTTGCAACCCCTCCCTACCGGCCCCACGTCTCTCGGTCAGCTGCTCCCCCCCAGCCCCCATGTCCCCCATCTACTGAAGAGGGCTCCGTCGGCTGCTCCCCCACCCGGCCCCCATGTCCCCAAGTCGAGAGGTAGGCTTCGACTTTCTAGGGGAAGCCGGACCTGTGGGTGGCCATGTTCTGCAGAGTCATGAGACAGAGGGGGAGGCAGACCCTCCTGGCTTCAGCAGTGCCTGATGCTTACATTAGCCAATAAATCCCCACACTCCATGTTTTCTGTTGAATCCAGTTGAATTTTTTTGTTTTGTTTCTTTCTTTTTTTTTTTGAGCAGAGTCTTGCTCTATAGGCCAGGCTGGAGTGCAGTGGTGCAATCTCGGCTCACCGCAACCTCTGCCTCCTGGCCTCAAGCAGTTCTCTTGCCTCAGCCTCCCAAGTAGCTGGGATTACAAGCGTGTGCCACCACACCCAGCTCATTTTTGTATTTTTAGTAGAGACGGGGTTTCACCATGTTGGCCAGGCTGGTCTGGAACTCCTGGCCTCAGGTGATCTGCCCGTCTTGGCCTCCCAAAGTGCTGGGATTACGGGTGTGAGCCACCGCACCTGGCCGAAGCCAGTTGAATTGTTATGTGCATTAGAGGATTCCAGACTAATGACCTTCCCCGTCTCCTGAAAGAACATGGAGCTGGCCTCCAGACACCCCTCAAGCTAACAGGTCCTAGGAGGTTAAAGGTCAGCCTCTCTGGCTGGAAGCCTGGAGTTCCCGCTTCGCACCCCAATCCCATCCTACAGTCGCCAGTTCCCAGCAGGCAGCCAGGGCTCCCCGGGCCAGGCCGCCCTCTGCCTGGGAGGGCATGGGAAGGGCACAGCTCGGAGGTCCCAGGCTCTGGGTTCTCCTACCTCATACTTGGGCGGGATCCGGGCTCCAAACCCCAACGCAGAAAACCTCTTGTCGCTGTAAGAGAGGCAGGCGGTCACCGGGGCCCCGACCTCTCCTGGCTGCAGCAGGGGCCGCTTCTGAGGAAGCACGACTAGCGCCCAAAAGACTAGAGCGGGCCCAGGCCTGGGACCACAGCAGCAAGCACCTGCCAGAGGAGACCAGGGCCACACGGGCCCAGGCCTGGGACCACAGCAGCAAGCACCTGCCACAGGCGGGGAACTGAGGCCTGGGGCGGCAGAGGCACAGGCCAGTGTGCAGGGCGGGCACGGTCCTGCTGCCGGTGAAGCTGCCTCCCAACTCCATGCCTGTGCACACGCCGTCTCCCTGCAGACGCCTCCTCAGGGGGCTCCCAGACCCCGGGAGGGGTCCTGTGGGGCCAAGGCACCCACTATGGCCCTTATCAATCCAGACAGAGGGGTCTGTGGGGCAGGGAGCTCAGGGCATCCGCTCAAGCTCCAGGCCAGGGGTCTGTGTTGTGGTGAGAAGCTCAGAGCACAGCGTTTTGTGCCAGGCCCTCCCTGGTAGAGCATCCACGGGTGAGCCCCATGCCCCTGTGACCTCAGTTTGCTCCTCTGGCAAAGCAGGACACAGACGTCCCCCCAGGACCACGTGCAGTCTGTGTGGCAGCCTCCAGTAGGGCTACCCAGCCCTTCCTCATAGAATCTTTTCTTTCTTTTTTTTTTGAGACAGAGTCTCGCTCTGTCACCCAGGCTGGAGTGCAAAGGCATGATCTCAGCTCACTGCAACCTCTGCCTCCCGGGTTCCAGCGATTCTCCTGCCTCAGCCTCTTGAGTAGCTGGGATTACAGGCGCCCGCCACCACGCCCGGCTAATTTTTGTATTTTCAGTACAGACAGGGTTTCACCATGTTAGCCAGGCTGGTCTCAAACTCCTGACCTCAGGTGATTGACCCGCCTCCGCCTCCTAAAGTGCTGGGATTACAGGCGTGAACCACCGTGCCTGGCCCCTCGCAGTCTGACAAAGTCACAGTGCCCACCTCATGGGGCCCCCAGGCCTGACCTGGAGCCCAGGGGGATGAGGGGAAGGCAGCGGGGCACACCTGCCATAGCTGACCTGGAGCCCAGGGGGTGAGGGGAAACCAGCCACACGCACCTGTCATAGTCCTGGCAGATCTCGCCCACCGACACCAGCGCCTTCAGGTACTCATTGGGCTGGTAAGGGTTGATGTAATGCAGGGAGCAGCTGTTCCGCGGGTCTCCGTTGGAGGCGGTGAAGTCAATGGCCACCTGCAGCAGGACGGGAGCCAGGAGCTGTGCTGGGCCGGAGCTCCCCGAACCCGCTCCTGACAGGTAGAGAAACCGCACCCAGAGCGGCCAGGACTCAGGGTCAGGGGCCGCGTGCGTGGGTGGGGCTGGGGGGCTGCTGCTGGGGCCACCTCACCTGCTACACAGGCCAGGAGGGGTCTCCTCAAAACCTGCCAACCCCTAGGCTCCCTGGATCCCCGGGAGGACGCGCCACCGGGATCACCCCGGCCTTGTGGGGTCCCCTAGGCTCCCTGGATTCCCGGGAGGACGCGCCACCGGGACCACCCTGGCCTTGTGGGGTCCCCGCCCATCCTTCTTAGCAGCCACCCAACCCCTCTACCACCCTCCCCGGCAGGGCCTGAGAGGACCAAGCCCGGGTTGGGTCTCCTCCACATTTCCCACTTGCTGGCTTCTCCCAAAGCCATTCTGGGGCTCATTCAACAAAAACATGAACCAGCGCATCTGCAAATGACACAGGGGTGACACAGGGGTGACACAGGGGTGACACAGGGGTGACACGGGGGGGCCGTGTATCTGTGGGTGACACGGGGGTGATGGGGTGACACAGGGGTGACACAGGGGCCATGTATCTGTGGGTGACACGGGGGTGACCCGGGGGGGGCGTGTATGTGTGGGTGACACGGGGGTGACACAGGGGCCATGTATCTGTGGGTGACATGGGGGTGACACGGTGGGCTGTGTATCTGTGGGTGACACGGGGGTGACACAGGGGCCGTGTATGTGT